GTTTTTTGGCGAGTGGGAGGTTTATATCACGAGCCGAAACCGAGTGATATAATCCCACGAGCTAAAAAATATTTTTTCACGAGTTACGAACAATATTTTTTATCACAATGTGGCGGAAATTGGACTTTTAGGCACGCGGAGCGTGTCGAAAAGTTCACTTTTCGTCAAAGCGTGATGAAAATGTAATACTTCGATCTGACATTCTAATGGAAGGTGGATTTAGCAATGGGAATGAGGAACTACCCAAGTGTATCCGAAGAGGGCTGTGAGGCTCGCAGATATGGAAGTGACTTTTTTTTCTTACAAAAAATTATACTCACCGCAGACATAATTGCATTTCAAAGACTATGTACAATATCACATCAAACCCAACCCAAAATATAAAATAAACTCGAGAGTCAATAATGGACCAAAAGATTATATACTATAAACAATACTTTTCGTAAAAGTTTTTTGATACTAGTTGTTAAGATATGTATATTAGGGATGGGCAATAATATTAGATTTTGACAATATTAAGAAGGGATTATCTCATTACATTGTTCAAAGTTTAACTATATTTAACAAATTTAAAATATTATAAAATTTATTGACTAAATTTTTCAATTGATGGTGAATAAAATATTTGATAATATTGAAATGTAATTTTTAGTTAGCAAGCTAATTCTAAATTTAGGTACTTGATTTTTCGATTATCCAAATAATCGTCAATCTTCCTACCTAAATTATTGGTTGATAGAATATTTCGAAATTTAAATGTACAAAGTGATGTTAATTTAATATTTAGAATTTTAAGATTTATGTTAAAAATTGACAACTTCACAATTCAACGGTCATTATGATTGATTGATATGCCTATTACTGATGTATATATGTAAATACTGAGTGTTATTGCTTTGAATAAAAACCTTGTTGAAAAAAAAAGTGTTACTGAGACTATTTGCGTAAATGACGACAAGAGCAATTCTCATTTGATTTTACTGAGTTACAGCGCAATTCTACGATTTTCATTCATATTAGTAAAACGATATGATAAACAGAAAACAAGTGGGAAATTGCTTTCGTCAACGTAGTCAATATATTTTTGGAGACTAACGTCACAATCTAATGTAGAATTAACTGAACCTGGATGTTGAGTGCCATAGGCTCGAAGATCAATCGGATTTGAATGGCGAAAATCACGGGAATCAGGATTTCGAGAATCGACAAGATGAGGCTCCGTCTTCTCATGAGGACTGCCTTCCAGAGTAATGTCATACATTCTACCCAACAGCGGACAATACGAGGATCCTTCCAGGTCCACATCTCGTCCATTTTCCACTCACGAAAGGAATTGGAAAATGGAAAATTCCAAATTTAGTTGTTTTTTCTTTTTCTCGGTTTTCACTCTCGATCAACAATAACCCTTACTGACGATAGTCTGAATATTCATGACATGCCCTGTATTTCACTATTTTGTGGTGTCATTACAATAGACACTGAAAGCTTGCAGAATCGTTTAGCAGAATTGTCTTCATCTTCTTGACTTTAATGGCTCTATTAAAATTACCGACCCGCCGTAGTCTCGCAACATCTACTGGTTTCAGAATAAAATAGCTGTGGCCAGAAGTTGGCTAACGTCAAAACATCAGATGACAGTCGCAAATTTGAATCTCTTCAAATATTCTTTGTCGATAGGTTTTTTGGAGAGTAAAAGTGTCGACCAAGAATTGACTGATATTGAACGATTTGTTGACAGTAAAACGTAAGTTAAAATTTTTTGTTTCACGAAGTGAACGAAAAGTGGAAATTATTTTTATGTCACCTGCCTCAGTAAAATTCATTCAAAATGAACCTCAAGGTTAACAGAAGAGAAAAAATTTTTTTCATTTCAGTTCTCACTCTAGAAACCCATTCATAATAAGCCTTCGGCAGTGAGTCAACACGTAAACACGATGAATATTTTGAAGACAGTTACGCGCACTACAAATCTCATCATCGAGCTGACATTCTTATCCTTCCGAGTGACGTTATCGGTGCTGGCAACTGGTTTCAGATGTGTCATTCCACCTTTCAAGAAGAGTCTGTTGGGTGAAACGGTTTTGGTAGTTTCTATTTGAAAACCATTATGATTATCATAATCAAGCAATATCTCTCTGGAATGCGTGAATAACAGCCTGACGAGAAGAAAATTAAGATATGTCTATGGAAGTATAAATCAATGATTTTTTGGGAATTGAAAATTGGAAAAAAATGAAAGACGGGGAGATAGTTCGTAAGATATTGCTAGGGGAGACCGGGGCAAAAGTAGAACGATGCAATATTCCACTGGAATGCATGAGTAGCAGCCTGATGAGAAGAAAATTAAGATATGTTTATGGAAGTATAAATCAATCGGATTAAATTAATGATTTTGATTTTGGAGGCATAATCAGTCGGTTTAAATCAATGATTTTTTGGCAATGAAAATTGGAAAAGATCACATCCATATCAATGAATTTTCCCGTACACGGAAAAGGAAAGATACTTCTCACCAGTACCCAACGGTACTTGTGCTAAGTTTACTTGTGAGAAGTTCAAAAAATACTTGTCCCAAGTATTTTTTGAACAACTATCAAAAAAATTGAATTGAATCAAAAAAATTGAATTGAGTTGTCAAGTTTTTGGAGAATTTCGCTCACATATGAATTATTGATTTTTGTAATTTAACTTGTCAATTAGTTTTCAAGTTTTGTACTGATTTTGTAAATTAATGCTGTGGTCTATTACTTGTGGTCTATGTGCCGAATATTATAGTTGAGATAGATAGGAATGATTGGATGGTTTGCTTGCAATATTTCCTGTTAATCCGTTGATGGGTTGTGTAAACAATACTAGGAGGGAATCGTGAAGTATCTGATTGATTTTGATGTTGTGTTTAGTGAATATAAACTTTTTCTATGAAAATAAAGTTAATATTTTTCTCTCCCTGAATTATTGTTTTGATCGTGAAAAATTCCATTGGAATTTGATGTTTGGGATAAAATTGTCGTTGGATTAATTTGTTTTGGAATGAATTGTGCAGGATAAATTCACCTAAAATCCCAAGAATATGATTCTTTCTCCTTCTGTCAATATCTATCGCCACGGTATAGTATTCTTGCCTTCACGTTATTAAGGGCCGGTTGCAGCAATCTATGTTCACAATTTCTATCCTCAAGACAAATTTCTACGAATGTAAATTAGATGGGCTAACAAACTATTAACTGTGAGATATGCACAAAGCTTGTTGGTGCAATCGACCCTGAATATATTTAATTTTCTTCAATTCTTGTTGCCTGGGGCTATGAATTTCTAATAGAGGAGAATAAGTTACTAGCCTATTCATTTGCAATAAATTCAGCCATGTTCACTTTCTACAAATGAATATGCATAGATATAACTCAATGAATTAATTTGTTGGGAATGATTTTTAATTTGTTGATTTTTATTGATGCGTAGGTGACCGGTGCTGGCCACGGGATTGGAAGAGAACTGGCTATCAAACTTGGTGAAATGGGCTGTATAGTTGTTTGCTGGGATATAAATAAGGATCATAATCTACATACGAAGAATGCGATAGTCGATGCTGGAGGAGAAGTATTCCAATAAAATTCATAGCTGCAGCATAAAGACTGGAAAATATAAATTTTCACGAAAATCAAAATTGTTCCGCAGGCTTATGATTTTGTCGTCGATGTATCGAACAGAATTGAAGTTCGAGAAGCTGCGAGATTGATGCGGAAATATCGTGTGCCAGATGTAACCATTCTTATCAACAATGCCGCTGTACTCATGCATAAACCATTTATTGATCACGATGTTGATGACGTTGAGAGGACCTTTGGGGTCAATGTTTTTTCTCAATTCTGGGTACTCATCATGAAATTATCCCAGTGACGATTGTGATCTACCCGTATTTTTCATGAAATTATCCCAGTGATTTTGTTTTTTCTAGACTGTCGAAACATTTCTACCTAGCATGCTGCAGAATAAAAAAGGTCATGTTGTGGCGATTTGCAGTCTTTGTGGGGTTTATGGAGTGGCGCAAAAAGTCACCTATTGTGCATCAAAATTTGCAATTCGAGGTACAGTAGAAAACGAAAGATAATGAGGGAAAAAACTAGTTTGCAGATTGCGTAACAATCAAAATTATTAAGATAAAACTGTATCTATTTGCAGATCTGTCATTTCAAGTTTAAGTTATTTATCAGAGGTTTTTGTCTAATTTCAAAATCTCTGAGTTATTTTTCACTCTTCAATTTTAGCTCAATTAAAATGAAAAAGCGGATTAGAAAAAAATTAACAGGAGACCGTCATGTGGATTCAAGTCACATGCAATTCTGCCGAAGATGGTCCCTCGATTTGAGTGGCGGGGAGCATTACCCGAAGTGGGGATTCGTAGAGTGGGGGCATGCACCTTACACTGAAAGAAAAAATTCCTCGGAAAAATAATATTTTGGAAAAAATTCTTCGTAAAAAAAATATTTCGGAAAAAAAAATTCGCGGCAAAAAACAGAAGAAAGGATGAGAATAATTACTCATGACAACAAGGATGAAGATAAAAGAATTGACACTAAAAATACTGCAAATAAATTCACAATTATATATATTCACAAAACAAAAACACAATGTCGGAAAAATATAAAATCCCTGAACCAAAAAGAATAGCTCAATCAATAATTCAGTGTCAACAAAACAACAACATCAGTCAACTGCTTTCCAATGAAAATCAATACTAACAAATACAATTCACAAATTTCGTGGTCATAATATGCAAACAGTCAACCGTAAAAATCCATCAATCTCCATCAATACACCTTCAACGTTTCGATCAAAAATTAACATTCTGAGCAATACCTCGAAGGTACTCGAGCAAATCATACAATTATCATAATCGGTAGCAACATTCTTAATGCGCTGATCATAATCACGATATTTCTTCTTCTTCTTGGGTGGCTCTCCTCCTGCATTCAATTGTTCAAGTACAGTTTCGGTCACCGCTTTCTCAGACTTCATCAGATCAATAAATTCCCCTATGGATAGATGACTGGCTTCAGCTCTCAAATTAAACGCGTGATGTCATCCCTCCACAGCAATCATTTTTCATGAGTCATTTATTCAAAAGTAAATATTTCACGGGACTTTTATTCCTAAAAAATATTTTCCGAAATATTTTTCCAAGATTTTTTTTCCTAAGGAATTTTGGGCGGACACCAAGTTTTACTTGTAACGTTTGTTAAAAATGATCAAAAAAGTTTTTTTGTGCTAAACATGCGAAGCCTGCACCGAAATTGAAAATTTTTCTCCCGTCCTCGCTTCGCTCGGTTAGAACGCGGTTTTCGGCCCCAATGACATAAAATATCGTATGTCACACGGCGATAAAAGTATTATTTGGCGAATGTGATTATAATCCTCGTCTTCGGCTCGGATTATAAAGCCAGATAATACTTTTATCGCCTGATGACATAATATACTATTTTATCCTGAAAAGGCACATACTTGTATGAATGATCCACCTCTTGATCTAAATATTTTGTTGTTGTTGAAAGTAGAGCAATTGTTCATGTTTAAGACTTTCAAATTCGAACCGAAAAATAATTTTTTTGGTAATTTTCAACTAACGATTTTATTGACCCAAACAAGACTTGTTTGAAAACTGGTTCGTTTTTCTCTCAGTATAGATTCCTCCTTTGACAAGAAACACTCAATTATGGGAACATATTTTTCATTTCATTCGGAGAAAACAATTTATAGAGTACTTGCGGGCCGATGAATATTCTAAGCGAAAAGCCTTCACCGGTTCTTTACTCATGTTCTATAATTTTTTGTGATCTTATAGGGATACAGAAAGAAGAAATATCTTACGCGAAAAATCTGTCTACAAATAAATAACTTCGAGAACCGAAGAAATACCCATCTCCCCCGTTCGGGGCAGAGATCGACATATTGAAATCTTGTGTAAAGTGCAATGAATTACAACAGATTCTTGAATAAATCGATAGGTTTTTGTGTAATCAGATGAAATCATGAGCCATCGAGAAAACGGCGACACGAAATGATGCTGACATTTCAGTTTCCATCAAGTTTATGTGAAATGGTACGGAAGCCATAAGGGGGTATTCAAATTACGTCACACTATAAAAAATGCATTTTTTCTCCTCTCCTTGTATTTTTCGATTACATGTTAATGAAATCACCAGGGGATCGAGCCTATCCGACAGAACATATTGGACCGTTACTTTATGGGTCATTAGCCTTTTCCTTTTTTTTATTTCTACCAATTTCATTGGCAGTAAGCTTGTGAATGGATCCGTAGCAATTTCTTGCTAAAAATAAAAAATGGCAATTTCACGTCAGAATATGCGAGCAATTCATCAAAGATTTATACCTCTTAAAATGGTCCACATCCCCTGTCTCTATCACAGCTATGGCATGCTTTACATGCTTTACAAAGACTGACATAATATTTTTTTTATCGTTACTTTACAGCATCGCTTCGGCCCGGTTAGGGTATGCTGTGATGATGATCAAGACTTTAAGGGTGCCAAGTGAATTTGGCGATGACCTTGAAAATTGACATTCACCAACAAAGTTATAATTTTTTTAATTAATAGTATTAGACACATGGTGAACATCGGTGACAATTTTAAAATTTTAGAACTTATGGATATCGAGAAATTAAATAAACAAAATCAGTCGTATACACGGCCTCTTATGGAGTTTTGATTAAATTGAACGTTTCAACCCCCTAGGAACTCAAGAAAAATTTGAAAAAATTTGAAGATATTGGGAATGATGTGTTCAATGTGATGTGAATACTTGTGGAAGAGGAGAAGGAAGAGCGTTTTTTTCAAGCACCGCACAGAGAAAAATAGTGATTAATTTTAGATAAAAGTAGCTAGATGTTAGAAACCTCATAATAATTGCCTATGGAAATGGGGGGATTCTCACTTTTTTCAGTCGTGTCTGCGGGAAAAAGCGGCACGATTACTTAGGCGGTCAATTGCGTTGTCGGCAAAAGAAGGGGATCACAAAAAAGGGAAACGATCGACGATCCAAATGCCCGCTGCAGTTTTTATTTGTCAACATAGTAATTTTGGCTGTTTCGTAGAGTGAGATGTAGGACGCGCGAGAGTATAAATCGAAATTTTGGAACGTAAACAAAATTACGTTGTAATAGCAAAAATAATTTTTCGTTCATTCAATAGTAAAAATGCCTTTAAAGAACAGTGTTTAAGGGGGTCATCCCATGTGTCGAGTTGAAAAAAATCGATTTTTTTTTACACTAATTCCATCTATATATATCGTAGAATATGTGTACGAAGTATTTTTTCGATATTCGAAGTCATTCGAAAGTTATAGCAGTGAATTGGGCCAAACACTCAATACCGGATAATGGTATGTGAATTCTTCGAACGCGTTTTTCTCGAAACTGCATTTTCGAAATTGGCTGACGCGATAACTCGAAATCTAGTGAACGGATTTCAACAAAATTTGGAAGAGTTACTCAGTAGATGTCTATGCATCTGCTGAACTAGGATAATTGCGATATCTAAACTAGTTTTTTTTTTAAGGAAATAGTCGAAAAAAACACCAAAATTCGTAAAAAAAATTTCAAGAGTCTGCCAAAAATTCAATTTTTGATATTTTTGAAAAATCCTAGTTCAGCAGATAGCTGAACCTTCACAGATTGAGAACCCGTTTTATTTTTTAATTTCAGATCTTCAGCACTCTCGGAATCGTGTATACCGTTTTACCCCTTTTTTTTCATGACTGACTTTGCCGCTGGATAGCTTGGCATGGGTGAATGAGTTTTGTCCCAAAAAAATATAGTGTTATCTTGGAATGCCAATAAATATGTAGTAAAAATTTCGATGTTGTCACTTCGTTCATTTCCCCACAAAAAATTCCCAAATATAGCATCAAAAACCGGCCGCCACATGGGATGACCCCCTTAAGACGATCTTAAATGTCATTTTGTTGTGCGCCTATTTTAGACTGTTTCTTCCATTCAAAATTACTATGTTAAATAGTAAAAAAGAAATTTTACATCGCAAACATTCAGTTAAAGTTAACCCTAGTTGGTTGCCCTACGCGACCCAACGACTTCGGTCACGTGCGCGGGGAAGTGCCGCCGTGTTATTTAGGCCTGAATGTTGCCAAATTCACTGTACATTGCCCGGGCGCGTTTAGCGAATTTCCGGCAACATCGCGTAACAGGCACTTTGATTTAACATGGGAAAAAATAATTCCTCGGTTAGAAATAATTTGTTTTCTTTAAAGGAATGTTGAGAATTATGTTGTTCTATAACTATTAAAAAATTTTAGACACTTTGATTGGAAAAGTCAAATTTTTTCAAAAATTTCCGATCAGTTAATCAATGGCAATTTCAGAAAAACGACGCCCTGCGGCACTTCCCTCATATGATGACCAATCTAGGGTTAAAATAAATCAAATTTTAAAGTTTTTCCGGTATGGTCCTGGATTGCTACGTTCACATAGTAATTTTTCATTTTATATTCTTTCCGAGTAATTCTCCCTTAGGTATAACAAAAATGTCAAGTTTTATTATTCTCGTATACTAAATTACTCACTAGTCTGAAATACTTATACGGGGCAGAACGAATTCACGTGAGGCAGAGTAATTTAGTACTTAATCCATAAAAATCACGCCAAACGTAAAATTTCTCACGTATACCATTGCTGAATGACCGCACCTATGAAAAAATATATAGAAATTCTCGATTCGGATTACGTATAGAAATTCTATAGGATTTCCATATATGATATTCGGATATTTCTATACGAATATTTTCTATACGAATTATTTCTATGCATAAATTTTTGTTTTCATACCAAAGATGTTTAAACGCTTCAAAGAAAAATGTAGAGATATGTCGCAACTCCATACGAAATGTTTCTAAACATGTGGCAGTGGGTCGTATAGGATCAAACCTATAGAAATCGTATAGAAATAATTTGTATTAAAAATATCCGTATAGAAATATCCGAATATCATATACGAAAATCCTATAGAAATTCTATACGTAATCTGTACAGAAAATTTCTATACGATTTTTTCATACGTGTAGGTATAAAAAAATGTCAAGTTTTATTATTTTCGTATCCTAAATTACTCACTAGAGTTTGAAATAGTTATACGGGGCAGAACAAGTTCACGTGAGGGGCGATAATTTAGTATTAAATCCATAAAAAATCACGCTAAACGTGAAATTTCTCACGTTTACCATTGCTGAATGACGGTCAATGTTCATTTCCTCGGCAATTGCTCTATTGAATACTTGTGTTGAATGCAGGATTGATGAATGGACTTCGTGAAGAATACAAATCCAAGCCATTTGTTCACTTCACCACAATCTACCCCTTCTACGTAGCCACTGGTCTAGCCCAGGATCCAAAATACAGGTGAGAGTGAAAGTGATGGAGCAATATGATGTCATTAAGACACACGATTAATCTTGAGTACTTACCTACATGAGACTGGGTTGTTGCTCCAATTATTCACCTGCAGCTTATTGCAAATCCTTGTAAACAAGTGGTCCCTAAGCGTGCGATATAATTCATCGCCACTAGTATGTTCCAACATTATAAATTGATTCAAATATGGTCGTAATTAGACAGTTGAAATTCATGAACCGTGGATTATTGCCAAAGTGTTATCTAATACATAATAATCACGTGTGACTTTTCCTGGTTTTCCAGGTTCTCATGGATTTTTGGGGCGATTTCACCAGAATATGCAGCGGGAGAAATTATTAAGTCGGTGCAGAGAAATTATAACGATTATATCATTCCAAAATGGCTTTATCCTCTCAACTCCATTCTAGGGTATTGAATCATCAAAATTGAATTTTTGCTTCCGAATGGAAGCATTGTGTTCGTCAAATCTAAAATTTCCATTTTTAATTTTGGTCTCAGGAGTTCGAATATGCTGTTTTTAGATCGGTTCCGTGACTTATCAACACAAAACAAATTCAACACGTAAATTCAACACACGATAACTCAACACAGCAAACTCAACAAAATCAAATTGAACACATAAACACTTCATCAGCATATATTTAAACATCTGCATTTTTAATACTATTGAGTCAGAAATTTGAAAATCTTGCCAGAGTAGCTATTGAATTTTCAGAATTTGAATCCTTGAAGGAATTAGAAAATAAACTGCGCAAAATTTTTGATCCACTGTGCACAGTTAATAAATACAAAGCTGAGCGGGACAGTATATTTGAAAGCCACGATGAGAATATGATAGATTATATTAATCGCTTCCAAAATATTTAGAACGAAATAAGACGCCTAGATAATAATGATACAATCACATTGCGTTCTTTAGAGGGAGAGTAACTTGAAAGTGAAGTGATCCAAACATTTTTACATAAATAATAACATCATGTCAGAATATCGAGCAATTATCATGAAAACACGTAAATAAGAAGAGGCGTGAACATGGAGAGAATTGAATATGAGAACAAATTGATGACAAAGGGGTAGGAATTATCGAAGAAGATAGTGTTTCCCAAGTGAACGTGGAGTGAGTGGGCATTGTATTGACTTTATTTGTGTGGAAATACAGGTGGTGAAATCCCTGGATGTTGAGTTCCCGATCTGTTGAATTGTCTATGTGTTGAGTTGCCTATGTGTTGAAATGATGTTGTGTTAAATTGACTATGTGGAGATTAGTCATGACACCTTTAGATCATGTCCGTATGTATGTACGTATGTATGTAGGTGAACTTTTTTCAAATTTAGTTTTTCGACTATCATTTAAAAAATAATCCTCGAAATTTTTTCAATTATGGCTTAAAATATTCGTTTGGATGTTATCTCGGTCGAGTTCGAAGATAGTGGCGATCGCATCATTTGCTTTGAAATTATAGCCTTAAAAAGCATTTAATCGAGGTTTAATCACGGTTTAGTCGGAGTTTAGGCCGGGTTTAGTCGGAGTTTAGTGGGGGTTTAGTCAGGGTTTAGTCAGGATTTAGTCGTTGGTTAATCAGGGTTTAACCAAGGTTTCGTCAAAGTTTAATCAATGTTCAGTGGAAGTTTTAACCAGTTCAATGTTAATTTCGTCGGCGTCTGTTCGATGTTTAACCAGGGCATATGGAGCTCCTGTTAGACATTTGGGACATTTAGGGATCTTATTAATTTTCCATGGCTGGTATATCTTCTTCCCTAATTGTCCATTCAGAAGCAAATTGCTAATTTATTAGTAAAAAAGTTATACTGGTCCAGTTTAAGGAAATTATTCAGGAGAAAAATGAAATTTAAATAATTTACTTACGACCGACGAGACATTGATGTATTAGGAGCATGAATTCTTGTGATATCAACTTTTACATTCATTTTGTTTTCACTCAATCTGTCTAATTTAAGATATATTCAGTTCACTGAAAAATTTGATCTCAAATTGTCTTTTAGAAAAAAGCTATTGAATTTTCCTGAGGTTAAACTTCAGGAAGGTTCCCCACTAATCTGAAATTAATGACAAAAAACCAACTGTGCACTTTTTTGTTTTAATTCCATTAATCCATTCGGAAGCAAATTGCTAATTTTTCGCAAAAAAACTACACTTGATTATTATTCCCTTCAATTGCTTTTATTCTCTTTTCTCATTTCAGGATCCTTCCACAATCATCAGTGGATTTGATTCTCAATTTCCTGTCTTGCAAAAAATCTCAGAAGTGATTTGACAAATTAGTTTCACGAACATGAGAATGTGACGTAGAGAAGAGTGATCTGTTTCCTCTTAATAATTGATGAATGCAAGAGTTTTTTTTCTGTAATTTTCTGGGAAGAACGAGTGGAGAGAATAATGTACGATTTCAACCGATCCTAGTCTCCGACTATCACTCATAACATGTAATTGCATGACTATAAGAATATAATATACAGAGGAAGTAATTAGGTACATTGTTACGTGGAAAGATTATTAGAAAAAAATACCGCCATTAGTAATCATCAGTAGATATGAAATGTATTGATTATTATACACAGTTATCAAAGACTGCATTCAACGTTCATCATTCAATACGAATGTGAAAACTCAAGCATGAACAGATTTTTAAAAAATTGTAAAAAGTGTTGCATAAATCCATTACAAAGTATAAAATCGTACGAGTATTATTTATCGTATACCATTGTTTCTAATTCTATATGGAGCTGGAGTCTGCACAATGGACATTCACTGACTTCATTCGTTCCAATTGATTTGAGTTGAAGAGGGAAAAAAAGAGTAAACAATTAAGTAGTCGAAAATTAACAAGTCAGTGCTCTTTTCAAATGCAAAAATTTTAGGAAATTTATTCGTGCGCAAATCCTAGGATAAAAAAGTATGTTGACATGGCAATTAGTGAGGGAGCGGTACTCTCTAGGAATAGAATATTAGCTCTGAGTCACTCGTGAATAACGAAAAATGGCTAATGAGCTATCGCAATTTTTTGGGGAAACTTAATGGTCATTGCAATTACGTGAAGACCTCATTAATATATTTTTTCTATGAAAGAGTTGTATCGTTCGGTAATGGATGAGTGCATTCGACAATGAATCTGCTGTTGCAATCACGTCCCAACTTTCAGTTCGGAACAAAAATAAAGAATTAAGTTGATATTCGAAGCAGGGTAATCAGAATAACCGGTGTGACGTAAGGGAATCAGGATTTTCCGGAATAAACATGTTGATTTCATTTTGTTTTGTAGTTCACTTCAGTCTACTCTGATGTTCACCTTGAAATGGAATATTTTCCAGTTGATTTCTTACGGACAGTACTAGGCAGAGGAATTTCCCGTGACCTTGGATGGACAATGAACTGGCGGAGGGTCTCGCAGTACAATCAACTCGTTATTAACCATGGGATTTGTACTTGAAGGATTGAGGGACTGACAATGCGTGGAAATATAATAGATTCGCGGTTGAAAAACTTTCATTTGAATCTTTTTTTCTGAATGCTTCTAAATGAGAACGTATTATGATTTAAAATACTTGCGAACCACGGTATTTGAATATACATGAAGATATTACGCAAGGTGATTTGAATGAAAGGATTTTTTCTCTCTCTCTCTCTTGAAGTAATTCATTGCAGATGACCAGGGCCACGAGACGTTAAGGTTGTTATCGTGTAACTTTTTTCCGACATTTTTTTTCAATTTTTATCGCAGATAGCTCTACGAATTAGCTGTAAAATAAGCCCATTATAATTGCAATTGACTATCTCAAACTTGAGATACATTTTGTTAAAGTTTACACGCTGTTAAATGCAGTTTCACCGCGTTCAATGAAAAAAAAATAACTCGACATTTTTCATAAAAAAAAAACAATGTAGACACAGTGTCAATCAATCTAGTGAAGAAAATAAAATTGATTGACCATTTCATTTTCGAGTGATCATCACAGAAAGTTAGTTATTTTTCCAATGGGCGGGACAAGTGAGTTCAATATACGCGTGACGTGGCATCATACTCAATAAAAAAAACCACGAATTCTGCAAGGTTAGGAGCCCGCGTAGAGATTTTAGTACTTGACTGGTCACCGCGGTGAAATCTCTCAAGTACTTTGGCTATTTCTTCTCTAGTGAAATGCCGTTTGTAGTCGAAGATCAGAGCTTTAATTTGAGCCCCATTTGACCCTAAGCTTCTGGACATTTTACAATGATTTTATTGTTTAAACTTTGCAGCTCTGAATTTGCATCTCGATATTGAACAGTTAGAAAACATTAAAAATCTGAAAAAAATTATAAAGTTTACTTTTGGAGGAAGATTGATAAAATGATTTAAAAATTGCAATTTTTGAAAATGACAAGCGTTTTCTATCAACAATTTATAAACAATCAATTTTTCCACCATAAAAATCATTTATTTGGAATCGTAACAAATTCATTCACATTCAAAATTTTACCAAAAATCGATTTCATGCAAAAAAAAGTTTTCGAATGTTCAAACGATTTTAATGATTGATTTATAAACAACGAAAGTTTAAAAAAATAATTCTGTGCAAAATGTAACTTGAATGTCGTTGAATATTCATGATTGTTTCAAATTTTTGAATATTCTGTGAAATTTTCATTTCTCGATCTATGCAACAATGTAAATAATAGGAAATTGTAAAAGAATCAGGCAAATATTGTTGTGCATACTAAATCTATCCAAAACTAAAATGAATGTAACATTTAATGTTCAGTCAGTCCTCCCTCTGAACAATTTAATAATTCGTAACGCTGAATCCGCAACCATTTTGTTTTATAAAACGTAAAAAGAATTTACACTCTATATTACTACCATTATTCAATCAGAACGGTGCTTTTATTCATCGAGCATTCAATAAAAATTATTCCCAATAAATATCTCGAAGTGAGCAAACTCCCCGTGAACTCAACCGTAAAATCAGTCGGCGGCGCGGGTCAACTTGGCAGCCCGAGGATTTTTAATCGTCGTTAATTGATCGGGTTATTCTCTAATCTTTGAGGAAAATCCCTAAAGTCACATCAGTTTTGTGGCATGTTCAAAATTCATAAGAAATTCCATGAGCGATTTGATCTTAAGGTATTTCGCGTGTGGATCACCGCCCGGCGAGCGGGGCGGGGGGAGTCTTATTGTTTTCAAACTCTGATTCAATTGCTGAGCACGAAATTTTTCAATTTTCAAGTAACTATTGAAGTGTGCATTTGAACATTTTTTGAATATTGATTTTATTTATCAGATTGATTGATTTTTTTCTCATCACCTACGGGTGTCAAATAATTTTTATTGGATGTTTTTCTAATTATTGAAATATTATTTAAGTCCGTCTCGACTTGGTAAACCTATCGAGTGTTTTCTCTCTCTCAGTTCTATGGTCCAACCCATGCCTTTCTCATGATGCTCACCACATTCGAATCACGCGCCTACGCGTGAAGGCGTAATTGCCTCGAAACCCATAATTTTCCGAATCATTTATTCAAATAACTTTCTTATGAAATCTGAAAAAATCTGAAACTTATACGTGTTCTCAAGAAAGATTTAATTTATCACCCGCTAGTTTTTCCTCAATAGTTCATTATTTTTTTTCTTGAGACTGAAATCTGAAAAGGATGTGCAAAAATTCTCCATAATGCAAGGTACTCAGACATTTCTCCCATGAATTTTCCCATTTTTTTCATTATTTTGACTTTTGACGCGAAACACCTTAAATTGAATTCAAATTCACAACTTTCAAAATTCAATTAAAGCTGCTAACTCAAAGTAAAACTCATTCAATACTCTAAGTTTAATTCATTTATAGTACTCTTTCATTTGGCGACGTATCAAATTTACGGGAATACAACAGATATTTCCTCACTATTATTTCCACCATTCAAGACGGAAGATGATTCATTCAAAATGAAAGTTGGTTCATCGCACATTTTTTATAGGAACTCATAACTGTGAAGCTATCCAATAAATCATATTTACGATCAGACAATATACGGTGCTGATAAACGGAAATGCTGCAATAGATGACCACAAGCACAATAAAAATTTATGTAACACGCTCATGAAAAAATAAACTTGCAAGTTATTTTTCACTACGAAAATGGTAAACCATTGCAAGTAGATATTCCAATATGAGATTATCCTGATAATAAATGGTTCTGGACGAAAATAAATCAAGTCCATTGATATTTTCTCCTGAAATCCTTATTGCTTTTATGATACGTACATGCGCAATTACCAACGATCAGATTCGCTCATCACGTTTGGTCATTTCACTACTGAATGAATCTGTAATAAATATTGAATAATGTTATTTATTTGTTATCGCTGATCATCATACGCATCATCCTACGTGGAAAGGCAAATTTTAGACAACCCTGATGCACGAAAAAATTCGATGGAGAACCTAACGAAACAATTCTATTGGCTTTCAATGGAAATTTCATTACTATTCTATTGGAAAATATGCAATTTTGATATATCCTTTTCTACCAGGTATTCGATATGAGAAATCCAATATACTATGTGGATTTTTATCTATATGATTTTTTCCGGCGGAAGTTTGTGTGATGGAATCCTTGAGCAGGAATTTTGAACAATTTTCCTCAGATGAGAAATACAAAAAAATTGTGGGAAATTGCTCTTGTACAGTAGACTCTCGTTATAGTCGCACTCACGGGGCTGTAGGGGCAGCCGATTCTGAGAATGGGACTGTATTTCTCTTCCCCCACCAGGCGGTCACGGTAAGCCTAAATTCCGGGAATCGGGAGCGATAAGAAAATAAATTTTACTCCAATTATTTTTCTCTTCAATTTGCATTGAACATTTTTATTAAATATAAAAATTATTTTCATTAAACACTTTTATTAAATTAACAAAANTTATTTTTTGCGAATAAATTAGCAATATGTTTACGAATGGTTATTTTGCACATCATTTCCTTCTATCATGTATAATTAATTGTTTATTCCTTTCTATTAAATTGAATAAGATTTCTTTTTAACTAATTTCGTCAGATTTTCAACATAGTTGAATGTTATCATCATCATTTTTTTTATTATCCCTTTCTTCTATACAACCGATCGTCTTTTTTACAGTTCTATCTTTCCTCGCAACCCTTCAAGAAAATGTTAATAGAAAAATTTTATTTATGCATACTTGGATGGATTTCAAACATTACATTCGGAGAAACCATCAGAAAGCTCAATTTCAGGGAAATTCATGAAAAATTCGAAATTCTCAACAATCATCATAAAAATTAAATCAATCAATAGCTACCGTAATTATCTTTTGAATTCGACTTGATGCCGTTAAAACAAACATTTTAAGCTGCGATTGAATTCATTTGAAACACGATATTTAAAGATATCTCCGGAAGTTTGATGTTCAAAAAATACAGAATATTTGCAAATTTTCCTGTAAATCAAAATAACGATTATTGCTGATCTTCATCTTCAAACTTGCTCAAAAGGACATTCAAACAAATTTTTTAAGCCATTATTCAATCAATTCAAAATATTTTTTTTTAGTTACCGTAGGACAACTAAAAAAAATTGAAATAATTTTTTTTTTTAATTAAATTTTTTTTTTCGATTTTCAAAGAAAATAAATTTAAAAAACTAGTCGAATAATTAAATTTTCAGTAGTAATACCACTAGTGCTTTAAAAATATCCGATTAACTTTGAAGGGCGAGTGGTATTTGACGGATTATTTTTCCACTCGGATTTCGGCCAGAGTGCAGTGAACAGGATCCGTATACATTTATACAGCCATACATTTACAACCCACTCTTTTGTTTATCTGTCACACAGAATATTAAACGTGAAATGCGTTGAAAGATGAGAAACATTTGAAAAGCTATTAGTGAATTTCCGTCGGAAATTTTTCAGAAATTTCCGAAATAAAACTGTTCGACAGCCTCAAATACTGCGCTCTGATTGGCTGAAATCCGAGTGAGAAAAATACTCAATAAAAATAGGCAAAAACGAAAGGAATTTGGATATTAGTTTTTAGCGATAGCGTTAGATTTTTCTATTGAATTATTTCATACACAATGTACCGTGTTAGCCTATTAATACTTGGTTCATTGTATTAGCGAAGGAAAAATTGATAGAAATCTATGGAAAATGGTCATACAGAACGCAGAAAGGTTCACGGGAAAATTATATCCATTAAATTTTCTCCAAAAATGTAGCGGCTGTAGCGGTTGGTATCCTTTCCACAGATTTAACTCATCGTGCTGAGAAAAAAATTGGTTGAAAGTTGCACCGGGTTCTCAGTAAATGTGTAGGTTATTGGCCTTTCAGGAAAGTGAGAACTCTTATAAAAAATTAATAACTCCAATAAACATTACCATATTTGAATAAAAAATGGAGTCTTTTAGGAGAATTTTTTCTTGAAATATTGGATTTTTTTCTGAATTATTAGAAGACTTATAGATTGGTTTTCTCGATTAGAATTTTGATAGATACTTTTTGAAGGTCAAAATGCTATATAATTACACTAATAGAAAAAAATATTTTGATTGAGATGTTTCTTTCTTGAAACAAGTATTATACACTGGAACCAATTTCCAATAAGTAAGATTTTGAGGTGAATATCAATTATTTCTTCTTGGGATACCTTTACTTGAATCAATTAAAACAGTCCTTGGCGTCAAGTCACACGTATTCCCCACGAAAATGGAAAAGTTCTATTTTTTTAAACCTAACATAATCGCCAGTCGAGAAAGTTTCTACTTTCATGAGTTGATCAAAAATGCGTACCTAGGGGATGATTACATTGAGGAATAAGTTGAATGTTGCTTTCTCGAATGGAGCCGATGTTTAAATTGAGCTTTCCGTACATCACATTGAACGAAATTTGTGATATCCAAGTTTGTGTTATTGTAAACTAATGTTATTGTAAACTAATGCGATATTTTTTAGTCAAGGAATATAAACTTCTTTCAACTCAACGATATCTTACTACAATCTCAAAGCGTTTTCCGCATTACAATATTCATCCTGATTCGACATACGAAATGCTCATTTCAATTATAATTTATTTGGAACAACGTACGATCGTGTTGATTGAGATAAGAACGTATTTAGTCATGAGAATAATTTGGATTTTTGAGTAAACAAACGATTTTCTGGAGTTAGCAAACTTATGGCTAGAATGAAATCAAATACTCTCATTATTGCGATAAATGAAAGGAACTTCAATTCTAGAGAAGTTCGATTTCTCCCAATCAAATGTATCTCAAGAAGAGATAACTGGTATTCACTAGAAATCATGTTTATTTGAAAATTACGAAGCAAATGACAGTTGGTTCAAATAAAATTCTCTTGATAAAACTAATTTTTGACGTGGATACGTCTATGGTTTCAATATGGGGGGTCATTTTGGGAAACGGTTCTTATGTGCAGCGCCATCTATCGGAATCCTAGAAAAGTCTAGAAATTTCGAGGTAATTTGAGAAGTTTCTTGAAATTTCGAGGAAATTCAGGGAGTTTCTAGAAAATTCGAGAGAATTTAAGGAGTTTCTAGAAAATTCGAGAGGATTCAAAGAGTTTCCAGAAAATTCGACAGGATTCAAAGAGTATCCAGAAAATTCAAGAGAATGCAAGGAGTTTCTAGGAAATTCGAGAAAGAAGGAAAGACCATGGACGTATCCACGTACAATTACAGCTGTATCGAAGATACAGCCGCCTGCAATTTTTTCTATCAGTGTACTAAAATTCGAGGGTCATTTTCAATGAATTTTCACCTTCGTCCAGCACCATAACTTCCTTTTGACCGTTAACAATGCCCTGGGATTTCCGGGGATTTTTCTTCTCATCTGCATTTCTGCTGACATTTGAATGAATGCAAATTGTTTGCAAAAAATTCAACGTCCACACTCATCTGATATTCACCGTGACTTACGACACATCTTATATCCTTCCGAGATAACCAGTAAAGACGATCATTGACCTTGACTGGAGGTAACTCTCCGGGAGAGTGTTCTCAGTCGGTTGGGCGAGACAGCATTGGACCAATACTGTTTCCTTCCGTCATCCAGTCAAGTTCAGATCGTCTTGTCAGCACGTCCCCACAACGCGTGCCTATGGAAGCAAGTGGGATCAGCATCGTGGCTTGCTTGACCACCAGACTCGCAGGATAAAATAACTCAGAAACGATACAGCGCTGGGATCCAGTGATTCACCTGGCGGGATAACTACTCATTCGGTTGCGGCGTAATCGGGCGGATCATTTCAATTTTCATGCCTCACATTTATTTTTCGTGTTTTATGAGAAGCTGATGTTGAACGGATTCTGGAATTCAGTGACAGAAAGTTACAGATGAAGAATTGTTAATGTGATTAGTGGTGATACGTGAGGTGGACTTTTGTGTGCTCTTGTCATTTTCACTGACTACAGTGAAACTGTTGGATTTGAGGTAAATAAATATAATTATTGAGGAATAATTCATCACTGTTGACATGAAGATAATCATTTAATTTTCAAAAACAAATTGGCTATTGACATTCCTCTCCTTACAATTTAGTTAATAATTTCCACTGGTATAATTCTCTTTATTGATTCAATAGAAAAGTCGCGCATAACGTAGGAATTTTTGACAATATTTGCATGTGTATGGAAGGCAACGCTGGTGAAATTGAAAACAAACACGAGAATCCGTGTCCACCTGTTTAAATTGGTCGAAAACCAACAGTGAATTTTTATTTTTGTATGTTTACATGTTGGATTAGAAAGATCCTGAGATTAGCATCAACAAGGTTGAGCGATGATTTAGCGGAGTAGTGCGTAACGCATCACAGTTATTTTCTAGATTATTGAATACGTTACATGAATTATATAAAATGTGATAAACATCACAATGATTATCAGAATATGAGCAGATCCACGCCAAATCAGAAGGTCAAAAAAGACAATGCTGGAGATTTTTCTCTCAATTTTTTTCTGAAAAGATGGCGATTAGACAATAATGTTGAAAACAGACAAATTGAAAAATATTGATAATTGAGGGAGTTATGATTTTTTTTTAAGTGGCTGGTTTATGTAAAAAAAAATGTTTTTTTTTTCTAATTGCACGGACGAAAGAATTTAATAGCAAAACCGATTGAACTCGTTAGAACATTCTATTGAATTTTTATTAAACTGTTTCATTAGTTTTTGGCCGATTCTATTGAAATGTTCAATAGAAAATATTCAGTAGAAAAAGTCAATAGAATTCAATTTTTCTATATAACTTATTCTATTGAAATATTGTCTATAGAATTTCCTCGGCTCAAATTTTTTAAGTTTTTTCGTTTGATTTTCTTAATGAGAAGAAAAGAAAAATAGAATGAAAAAAACTTAGAAAATGAGTCGAGCAAATTCTATAGAAAATATATGAAAAGAATAAGTCATGTAGAAAAATCGAATTCTGTTGACTTTTTCTATTGAATGTTTTCTATTAAACATGTCAATAGAATCAGCCAAAAACTAATAAAGTGTAATAGAAATTCAATAGAATTTTCTGACGAATTCGACAGGTTTTTCTACGAAATTTTTCCGTGTGAAAATTTTCTGTTTTCATTATGATTGATGAATATGCCTATCACTGGTTTCAAGCTATCGAGTCGCCCTTTGGCACATTCAAAGACCATGAAAAACGCTTCGAAATGAGACGCCATTATCCTCAGTTTGACAGGGTTTATACGAGAAAGCGTTTTTTTTCAATCGTTAATTATTGAAAAAGCTAATTTGTTAAAAATTTGAAAGAAAATTTTTCATAAAAAATTGTTAATAAAATGAAAGGAATTTTGGCGCCAATTAGAGTTTGTTTTGCGCCGTAGTTCAGCGGTTATTATTTTTTCACTGGGACAGGTGTTTGAAATGACCGAAAATCGTTACTATTTATGCAATTATCCCGCAAATGAGTGAATTTTCAATTAAATATTAACAAATGGTGGAGGTTAGACTAATCTTTTAGTATTCATCCTCAGTAGGATTTTTTGAGCGAAAAATTATCATTTTTTCAAAGAGCTTTCATTTGTTGGTAATCCATAATTTAATTGAATTAATTCATTTTTAATTATTCAATAGTTTATTTTTCCCAATCGGATTTCAACCAATTAAAGCGCAATATTTGAGGCTACCCGACAGTTTTATTTCGGATATTACCTCCTATAGCGTTTGCATATTTCGCAATAACTCTTCATTTTTTCGGCTCATTTCAGATCGAATCTTGTATTTGACAGTCTACGGAAATCGGGTCATTCTATTAACATAATTTCTTCTACTCTTCCCTAATTCCCGGAAAAATAACTCGACACAAATAATTGTACCTGTAATTGTACGTGGATACGTCCATGGTCTTTCCTTCTTTCTCGAAGTTCCTAGAAACTTAATGCATTCCCTTAAATTTTCTGGAAACTCCTTCTCTCGAATTTTATAGAAACTCCTTGAATTCCCTCGAAACTCTCTGAATTACCTCGAAATGTCTAGAATTTTCTAGAATTCCGATAGATGGCGCTGCACATAAGGAGCATTTCCCAAAAATGACCCCCCATATTGGAACCGTAGAAGTATCTACGTCAAAAATATGCCCTCTAGCTTCAAAATTACTCGGGCATTTCCCTCGAGCTCCCTTGCAAACAATCGTGCCAAGTTTTGCAGCTTAAAAAATTTTTCTGCAAAACTTGACACCCTCATTGGTTTGCAACGAAGCTATCGGGAAATACCCGATAATTTTGAAGGCCTTGGGATATTATTACTGAATATTCACGCATTTGGGGGATAATTGCATAAATAATAGCGATTTTTAATGAAAAAATTAATAACTGTCGAACTACAACAAAGGACAAACTCTAATTGGCCCCAAAATTCTCGACATTTTATTGACAATTTTTCGTGAAAATTTCAGATTTTTAAAAAATTAGCTTTTTGAGTAATTAACGATTTAAAAAATCGTATAAACCCCATCAAACTGAAGATAATGTTATGTATGGCGTCTTATTTTGACGAGTTTTTCATATTCTTTAAGTGTTTCAAAGAACGATTTGATAGCTTGAAACCCCGCGGCGATATTGGGGCCAATTTGGGAAATATTTTTTTTTACAAAAACTAGCAATTTTTTAAAAATCATAACTCCCTCAATTATGCATATTTTTTTATTGTTCTTATTTCAGAACTTTTGTCTAATCGCCATCTTTTCAGAAAAAAATTGAGGCGAAAATCCCCAGCATCGACTTTTTTGGCTAAATTGGCACGGATCTGCTTATAAGTAACATGTGGTCATGCTGATAAAAATATCCGAGTTCCTGGTTCAATATTTTCAGACACTTGTAAGTAGATTTCATGAGACCAGTTATGCTAACATAATTATGCTCTCATAGAAGGCCTCTGAATTTCATTAAGGATATCCAAGTAGTTCACGCAATTTTTTCTGGGGGAAATCCCCTTCAGAGTTTATAGACTAGACCAAGAGTATTTTTTAGGCGCAGTATAAACTTTAGTTTCCGAACATATTTTCGAGAAAACGATTTTTGAAAGAATGAAATTTAACACATTGCGTCCATAAGAGCTGTATACTCCCACCTTCAATCCAATAGTTCATAGTCTTAAAGCCTTTTCTCGTACACATAACCGTATATGACTTTGTTCGTTACACTCTCTAGTTTTTTTTGCGACATTAAAAAACATATGTTTCTGGACAGATAATTGCAAACAATCAAATTAAAAGCTTCTTGATTGGTACGACGGCCATATTGGGTGGTTTGAATCCGTGTGTTCCTAACGTCTGGCAACAGTCCGCTCAAGTGACTACTCGGACCGAATTTACGAGGTTATATACAACACATGTGCAGTGTTGCCGTATGATCATTAGAGGTTAGACCAACGAGAGTCAAGTGTAAAATTGAATAGAATATTGTTCACAATATTCATTGAAGAAATTCCCGAAAAAATATATTCAATTATACCGACGGCGGTGGCTTTGTGGTTAGAGTGTGGGATTGGCATGCGGGAGACCCCGGTTCGATTCCCGGCTGGGGGGGCAAAAATTTGTGACACTCTAAAATCTCACGGTTTCATTGTCGAGCGGGAGTCTCACAAGAGACGACTGTACTTGGGCAGGTTTTTCCCTCAAATGAGGTTTTCCCTTGTCCTTCGGCGAATGCGGTACAGGGGGTTGGTGGGTGGGACGGGAACAAATCGTAAAGACCCGAAAGGGTATACGAGAAGAAAAAAATTATATTCAATAATGAAAAGTCCGAAAACGTATGGGGACGGCAAGATTTTCGACAAAACTGAAATTTTGCTTGAAAAAAAGTGGCCAATTTGAACGAAGTACTTGGATATCCTTAAGTTGAGAGCATACGAGGCATAGGAAATGTTCAAATAATAATCGCAAAGAAGGAATTGAGTTGAAAGAACTTCTTGCATTAAAATTGCAGATATTAAACGTAGAAATAGGAATTTGTTCAAGTAGTTGAATGAACAGAGATTTGTTTTGTTGAAATCAACTTATATCAGGGTTCATCGTGAATTATTCGCATCAGACTCGTCATACGCAAATGGTTTTTGTTGAATTTCCACAGAGACTTTTCATTTGGAAATTGTGGGCAGGATGATTGTTAGAGGAAAAACTCTCGTATAGCCCATAAATCAATTTATACTAGCATCACTTCAGATTATTGTGGGATTACACGTGCAAAAAAAAACATAAAAACCGAGTACATCCGTAAAAAAATTCTAGCGGAATTTCAATGAAATTCTATTGACAATTCTATTAGTTTTTCAACGATTCTGTTGAAAAATTCCCTACCATTTTTGCACATTTTTTCAAACAGGGGCGAGTGGAGCAAAGTGAAACAGTGGGTTGAACCGGGGATAATGATCTCTTTTTTTTGGATTTTGACCAGGTGGTTGTCTAGCCAGAATGAAGGACTATTCACAACCACAGCACGACAATAAAAATAGAAAAACTGTGCAAAAAACACCGTTGTTTTACTTTGCCCCACCATTCCATTCTATTCCGTTTTTTTAATCTCTAATTCCTGACTTGAATTCTTGACTCCATCAAGCGCTCGATTTCACTCTATTGCACTAATCTTAGTTTTGAGAATAGTTTTGGAAATTGAATCGAATCTAACTTTCCACCATTTTGTAGAACAAAGAATGCTCGTATCATATTGGCAGTCCCAAAATGTTGGATTGAGATATTCTATCCCATCTCATTTAAATAACGATTTGAAAGACCCTCTAAAATTTATTATAAAACTAAGAGACTACGCCCCCTTCTCGCTCCGCTCGTCAACCCCCATAAGATCCACATGTAACCTCCACATGACCCGCATATAGTCCCCATGACCCTCCATGATCCTTATTTGGAATCTTATGACCTTTAATCTGACACATCTGTAATCTGACCCTTGTGACACTTGTTTGGAC